TCACTTAGCAGCCTTCTCACTTCTTCTTCAGTTGTATGTCCAACATTTGATGGTGTACTCCGCCACTATATCTTTCTGTAATCCTTTCTGTCTCTTCTGTGAACACTTCATTGAATCTCATGTTGAGCTCCTGACATACTTCGTGGTCATTTCTTTTGACAAAAGATACTGCTGTACACTAACAGCTCCCTTCAAGGCTGGCAACATTGCAGACCTGGAGAGTGTACAAAGAATTTTCATGGCACACATAAGTGCGATAAGGCACCTAAACTACTGGGAACTGTTGAAGATCCTTAATCTGTATTCCCTTGAATGCAGGCGAGAGAGATACATGATAATATACACTTGGAAGGTCATGGAGGGATTGGTACCAAACCTGCACCCGAAAATCACTCCATATGAAAGCAAAAGACTAGGCAGGAGATGCAATATTCCCCCGATGAAAAGCAGGGGTGCCACAAGTACACTGAGAGACAACACAATAAGTGTCCGGGGCCCAAGACTATTCAATTGCCTCGCAGCATACATAAGGGGGATTACCAATAGACCCCTGACTGTCTTCAAGAAGGCACTAGACAGGCACCTAAAGTCAGTACCTGACCAACTGGGCTGTGGTTCGTACGTCAGCTTGCGTGCGGCCAGCAGTAACAGCCTGCTTGATCATACCTTGATCCACCATGAGGCCTGGTCTGAGACTGGGCCGCGGGGGCGTTGACCCCCGAAACCCTCTCAAAGTAAACTCCAGGTCTCCCCTCCTTTCTTCTTAACCCTGTTTAAACCTGGTCCTTGCCCGGTTGCCCACTCCTTTTATAATGTACAAAAAACTTCTGGTCATTTTTGGTTTTGGGTTGCTTTTTGATTTTTTTTATTGTCATTGAGCCCCCCTTTTTTTTACCTGTGCATATTCTTTTTCGGTTTCTTAAAACTATCTCCTTTTTTTCCTGGGTCCTTTCCTTCTTTCTTTTCCATTCTCTAACACATTGGGTTTTTGGGGCCTCCCTACATTTTTTGGGGTTGAAAAAAGGGGCTCTTCCGGGTTTCTCATTATTTTTTGTTGCCTTGGGTAAAAACTTTTCCTCAGCTTCCTTGCATTTTTGTTGTAACATACCCCATTCTTTTTTTTTTATTGACTTCCCTGGAAAGGGGGCTAGGGGGAGAAAGGGAGGGAGGTAGAGGGGGAAAAAAAAGGAAAGGGAAAAGAGGGGGGGAATGGGAGGGGGAAAGGAGAGAGAGAGAGGGAGAGGGGAGAGAAGAGAGAGAGGAGAGAGAGAAAAGAGAGAGGAGAGAGAAAAGGGGGAGAGGGGGAGAGGAGAGAGGGGAGAGATGGGAGGGTTTTGGTTTCCTGGGGAAAAGAAGTTGTTTCCCCTGGGTGTATTTGACTCAAAACAAACCCATGAAAAACCCACATTTTTTAAATCTTGAAAAACAAGGCAGCCAAAAAGCTTACAACATTTCCACTGAAACAGTAGGGGTTGCAAGATTCTGTACGAGGCACAAGTATGCTCACCCCTTGAGTAGGCCTCCATTTTCTTGGTTTGCATGGCCCCCACTCTCATCTGCGAAAAGCTTGACAAAGGGAAAGGGAAAGAGAAGCCGTTTCATCTTCGCCTGGACCCCGCCCGGATAGATCTGTATTTCGCAGGGGGCCTAAAAACACAGGAGGGATGTGGGTGGCCCTTATGTTATGTACAAGGCCAATATTGTCAAAAGGGACCCCAAATTTGGGGTCCAAATTCGAGGACATCCCTTTAAGAAAACCTTTTTAAAACCACAAGACAGGCAGAAAGCAGCAATTCATCTGGCTGTAACCTTCTCCAGAAATTTCACTCCATCTGGATATAAAATACCCGGGTGACTCGGGGTTTTTGGAACACATTGGACGCATAATGATGTTAACGGGGATAAAGTCAAATTTTATCAAATGAAAAATGCTGGCCCAAAGTTGGTCCCAAAATTAAACCTGTTTCCTTTCTTGTTGTTTAAAAAACGCTTAAAAAAGCTTTCAAAAGGTGATGTAGGTAAAAGATCTTAGTTGACAAATTTAAAATTAGGAATCCTTAACCTGTAAAAAGCTTGTCAATAAAAACTAGGGGTCCCTTAAAAAACTCTTGCCAAACCCCCCCCGTACTACCTGTTGTATAAACCCAGTTGTACTACCTAGTTTTAAATTTACCTAGTTGAGGTTCCAGGGGTTTCGGTCCAAGCTCCTGGCCCCCCCCTCTTCACTGGGCGCCACTAGGTTTTCTCTCCCTGAAACCAGAGCTTTAAACGTACCCCTGCTTAAAGTTATGTATGGATTTCCCGCCTCCAAATACATCGCTTTCCCAAACTATTCCACTTCCTGATACTCTGTGGGTGAAAGAAACACTTTCCCAACATACCTGTGATTCATTTTTGTGTCTCAGCTTCCCAAATGTTTTCCCCCTGTTGTTGTGTCCCATCTTTTGGGAAAATTTCCCGGGCTTTTTCCCCCCTTGTCAAAACCCCTCAGTATTTTTTTATGTCGTTATCATGTCCCCCCTAAACTTCCTGTCCTCCAGTGTGTTTTAGGTGATTTCCCCTTTAAAATCTCCCCGTAGGAAAATTTCCTCTTAGCTCTGGGACTAGTCTTGTTGGGAAAACCCTTTTCACTTTTCTAGTTTCTTTTAATTTCTTGGCAAGGTGTGGGTTCCAAACTAGTACCGCATACTCCCAAAATGGGCCTAAAGTTCAGGTGTAAAGGGTCCCCGAAAGATTCCCCTTTTTAAAATGTCGGGGGAAAGCTGTTTTGGGTTTTTTAGGTTGTAGTCTTTGGCCCCCAGAGTGTACCCCGTCTGGGGTCTTTTTTCCCCTTCCCCAATTTTCAGACTTTCCCACTTGGGGGGTTTTAAACTCCAGGAGCCAAATGCGGGACCGGGTCGCACCTGTCCATCTAGACCCCTTTTGTATTCTCCCCCCTGGTCTTCGACAAAATGAATTTTCTCATAACTTCACGTCATCTGCAAACGGGGGACCCTCGGAGTTTTTTTCCCTTCCGTCATAAGAACAAAAAACATAAAAAGGGGGAAAACACTGCAGCAGGCCTGTTGGCCCTACTGGGCAGGCCCTTTAAAATTTCAACCCAAGCTACCCAAGAAAAAAAGCTCTGATGTGAAATCCCCCTCAAACCAACCCCCCCCACCCCTGTAATTTTCCAACCTAAAATTTTTAAAAACCCAAAGTCCCCCTCAAAAACCCAAAATAGGTAGACTTTTTCCACTCATCAACTACCCTTTTCCAAACCAATACTTGCCTATGTCCTTTCTAAATCTAAACTTATCAAATTTTTAAACCCATTACTGCGGGTTCTCTCTTGGAGAGAGATCCTCAAGACCTTGTTAATATCCCCTTTATTAATACCTATCTTCCACTTATACACTTCGATCAGGTCTCCCCTCATTCTTCGTCTAACAAGTGAATGTAACTTAAGAGTCTTAAATCTTTCTTCATAAGGAAGATTTCTAATGCTATGTATTAATTTAGTCATCCTACGCTGAATGTTTTCAGCGTATGTTCTGAATGTTTTCAGAAACAGCACTGGTCCTAGGACTGACCCCTGTGGGACCCCGCTGGTCACAGGTGCCCACTCTGACACCTCGCCACGTACCATTACTCGCTGCTGTCTTCCTGAAAAGTATTCCTTGATCCATTGTAGTGCCTTCCCTGTTATCCCTGCTTGGTCCTCCAGTTTTTGCACTAATCTCTTGTGTGGTACTGTGTCACACGCCTTCTTGCAGTCCAAGAAGATGCAATCCACCCACCCCTCTCTCTCTTGTCTTATGCTGTCACCTTGTCATAGAACTCCAGTAGGTTTGTGACACAGGTTTTTCCCGTCCCTAAACCATGTTGGCTGCTGTTGATGAGTCATTTCTTTCTAGGTATTCCACCACTCTTCTCCTGACAATCTTCTCCATGACTTTGCATACTATACATGTCAGTGACACTGGTCTGTAGTTTAGTGCTTCATGTCTGCCTTTTTTTTTGAAGATTGGGACTACATTTTGCTGTCTTCCATGCCTCAGGCAATCTCCCTGTTTCGATAGATGAAATTGAATATTGTTGTTAGGGGTACACATAGTGCCTCTGCTCCCTCTTCCTCAGGACCATGGAGAGATTTATCTGGCCCATGGCCTTTGAGGTATCTAGCTCACTCAGAAGCCTCTTCACTTCTTCCTCGGTTGTGTGTACTGTGTCCACACCTGGTGGTGTGCCCCACCTCTCCGTCTTTCTGGACCCCCTTTTCTGTCTCCTCTGTGAACACTTCTTTGAATCTCTTGTTGAGTTCCTCACATATTTTCATGGTCATTTCTTGTTGTCTCTCCTCCTTCCTTCCTTAGCCTGATTACCTGGTCCTTGACTGTTGTTTTTTCCCCTCGGGGCTGTATAACAGCTTCGGGCAGATTTGGCTTTCGCTGCTATGTCGTTTTCATATTGTCGTTGGGCTTCCCTTCTTATCTGTGCACATTCGTTTCTGGCTCTACGACTGCTCTCCTTATTCTCCTGGGTACTTTCCCTTCTGTATTTCTTCCATTCCCTAGCACACTTGGTTTTTGCCTCCTTGCACCTTTGGGTGAACCATGGGTCATCCTGGCTTTTTTCATTATTCATGTTTTTCCCCTTTGGTACAAACATCTCCTTAGCTTCCTTGCACATTGTTGCTACATATTCCATCATCTCATTAACTGGCTTCCCTGCCAGTTCTCTGTCCCACTGAACCTCGTTCAGGAAGTTCCTCATTCCCGTGTAGTCCTCTTTCTTGTAGTCTGGTTTCATTCGTCCTGGCCTTCCTGCTTCCCCCTCCACTTGTAGCTCTACTGTGTATTCGAAGCTCAAAACCACATGATCGCTGGCCCCAAGGGGTCTTTCATATGTGATGTCCTCAATATCTGCACTACTCAAGGTGACTAGGTCCAGTCTTGCTGGTGTGTGATTGTGTGTGTGTGTGTGTGTGTGTAAGCGCCTCTGTCTAGTCACAGTGAGGTGTCGAAACGAGTGGGTACGTTTGTGTGTGCGCACCCGCTAATGTGTGCTGATAGAGAGATACAGTATCTAACTCAGTGGACAAGGTGTCCTTGACTTGAGAGGACACACTTTTGTCTGTGGAACTTGGGCAACGCACAGATCTTCTCATAAGTGAAAGGTAAAATTAATTAGTGACATTTAGTCGATGAATCAGTTGAGATGGATAATAAGTTAAAGGGGGTAACAGCTTGTGTATAATGGGTGGAGGTCATTATACGTGAGATGAGATTAAATATATAGTGGGTGATAGTCATTATACAGTGGGAGAAAGTTAATGTGCAGTAGATGATCGTCAGTATTTAGAGAGTCATTTTGTCTAGTGGAAAGATGGATGAACCTGGAATTTAATATTACATTATTATTCTTGGCTAATGTTGAGACTTGTGTCTAGATTGCTGGTCCAGTGAGTGCCACTCTCACCCTTGAGAAATTTGAGAATTCCAGCATCGTTGTTAAGATTATTGTTGATCATTTATCAGTACTAAAAGACATCTACATCAAAGTAAATGTTGAGCATTTTAAACAAATTTATTGCTAACAAAATGTTTCATTCAATATGGAAGTCACCTCTTCTGTTTTCATGCTGATAATAATGCTGATATGATGAATAGTTATATTTACACTATAAAGTAGAAGTTACGGGCAATGAGACTCACTTGCTTTCTCTGTATTATTTACATTAGCTAGAAGGAGGAAAATAAACGAGACAATATTTATAGTATTTAAAAAAAATACTGAGAGATTAACCAGACATTCTACTACGAAACTAAAGTTGCCACTTAAATGGTTAATGTTGTATGATCAGCAATAATTTGTATGTATCTAAAAAGTCGGATAAATATTTCTGTTATGCACCCCATACCCATAGTGGGCGGTAGTGAAAAAGATTACAGAGGTACATGCTGGGTCTGGAGTCTGGGCCCCAAAGTTTTTACAGCTGAACAAGTTACGAAGGTAATGAACCATTCACATGTCTATACCTGATCACAACTGCAATGAGTTATTAATGCAAATATTAGCTCTATTTACAGAGAACAAAGTCAAGATATGTCAAAGTACTTTATCCACCACTGTGGATAAAATACTTTGACATATCTAGAACATTTCTGAGTTGTCTCTGAATTCGTTATTTATATATATATATATATATACTACACACACACATGCATGTCAGGAGAATTGATAGGGAACAGTGTAGTAAAGAAAGCGAATGCCAGGCTGAAGTTCCTGTATAGACAAGCACAGTGTCTACCTACTGAGGCTCGCAGGACCCTATGTCTAGCCCTTATACAATGCCATATGGATTACGCTTGCTCTTCTTGGTACTCTGCCTTGACAAAAAAACTGAAAGATAGACTGCAAATCACCCAGAACAAAATCGTAAGATTCATCCTGGGGCTGGGACCAAGAGAACATGTAGGCCAGGATGAATTACAGCAGTTGGATATGCTGAATGTTGAAGACAGAGTAAAACAACTGAAGCTAAATCATGTTTATAAAATTGCTCACAAACAATGTCCAGAATATCTTGCTGTCAATTTTGTCAAGGTTGGGAACCAAAGCAATCATAGTACTAGGGGGAGAGAGCACAACTTTGTAGTAGCCACAATCAGTGGCCAGGCTTCAAACACCTTTTATTGTACAGCAATAATGGAATGGAACAGACTACCCGCACATGTCAAAGCCAGTCATAGCATGAACCAGTTCAAGAAGAGTGCCAAAAAGTGTCTGATGAATGAAGCAACAGAAAGGGAGGGGAATGATTTTCTATTTTTTAGCTAAAATACGTGTAAATTTTACCTTATCCCTAGTAATGACCCTCGTATTGTAGATAGTCGTAATGACCCTCGGGTAGTAGATAGTCTTAATGACCCTCGTATTGTAGATAGTCTTAATGACCCTCGTGTAGTAGATAGTCTTTTTAGTATGATAATAAGATGTTATCTTCATTATAGAATAATAAGAAAATATTATAACCTTTATATTATAATAATAAGGTAAAAGGACCCCAATGGAAATAAGTCACTCTGTCTGACTTTTTTGGGTTATCCTAGGTTCTCTACACATATGCTGCTATGTATGATAATTCTATGTAACTGTATTGTGTATACCTGAATAAATTTACTTACTTACTTACTTACTTACACACACACACACACACACACACACACACACACACACACACACACACACACACACACACACACACACACACACACACACGCACACACACACACACACACGCACACACACATGCACACACACACACACACACACAGACACACACAGACACACACACACACACACACACACCACACACACACACACGCACACACACACACACACACACACACACACACACACACACACACACACACACACACACACACACACACACACAGTAAGACAGCAGTAAGACAAGAGAGAGAGGGGTGGGTGGATTGCATTTTCTTGGACTGCAAGAAGGCGTTTGACACAGTTCCCCACTAGAGATTGGTGCAAAAACTGGAGGACCAAGCAGGGATAACAGGAAAGGCACTACAATGGATCAGGGAATACTTGTCAGGAAGACAGCAGCGAGTCATGGTACGTGGCGAGGTGTCAGAGTGGGCACCTGTGACCAGCGGGGTCCCGCAGGGGTCAGTCCTAGGACCAGTGCTGTTTCTGGTATTTGTGAACGACATGACGGAAGGAATAGACTCTGAGGTGTCCCTGTTTGCAGATGACGTGAAGTTGATGAGAAGAATACACTCGATCGAAGACCAGGCAGAACTACAAAGGGATCTGGACAGGCTGCAGACCTGGTCCAGCAATTGGCTCCTGGAGTTCAATCCACCAAGTGCAAAGTCATGAAGATTGGGGAAGGGCAAAGAAGGCCGCAGACGGAGTACAGTCTAGGGGGTCAGAGACTACAAACCTCACTCAAGGAAAAAGATCTTGGGGTGAGTATAACACCAGGCACATCTCCTGAAGCGCACATCAACCCCAAATAACTGCTGCAGCATATGGGCGCCTAGCAAACCTCAGAACAGCATTCGACATCTTAATAAGGAATCGTTCAGGACCCTGTACACCGTATACGTTAGGCCCATATTGGAGTATGCGGCACCAGTTTGGAACCCACACCTAGCCAAGCACGTAAAGAAACTAGAGAAAGTGCAAAGGTTTGCAACAAGACTAGTCCCAGAGCTATAGGGGTATGTCCTACGAGGAGAGGTTAAGGGAAATCAACCTGACGACACTGGAGGACAGGAGAGATAGGGGGGACATGATAACGACATACAAAAACTGAGGGGAATTGACAAGGTGGACAAAGACAGGATGTTCCAGAGTTTGGACACAGCAACAAGGGGACACAGTTGGAAGCTAAAGACACAGATGAATCACAGGGATGTTAGGAAGTATTTCTTCAGCACAGAGTAGTCAGTAAGTGGAATAGTTTGGGAAGCGATGTAGTGGAGGCAGGATCCATACATAGCTTTTAAGCAGAGGTATGATAAAGCCACGGCTCGGGGAGAGTGACCTAGTAGCGATCAGTGAAGAGGCGGGGCCAGGAGCTCGGACTCGACCCCCGCAACCTCAACTAGGTGAGTACAACTAGGTGAGTACACACACACACACACACACACACAACACAGGACAGGAGGGTCAGGGGAGACATGATAACGACATATAAAATACTGCGTGAATAGACAAGGTGGACAAAGACAGGATGTTCCAGGGAGGGGACACAGAAACAAGAGGCCACAATTGGAAGTTGAAGACACAAATGAGTCAGAGAGATAGTAGGAAGTATTTCTTCAGTCATAGAGTTGTAAGGCAGTGGAATAGCCTAGAAAATGACGTAGTGGAGGCAGGAACCATACACAGTTTTAAGACGAGGTTTGATAAAGCTCATGGAGCGGGGAGAGAGAGGGCCTAGTAGCAACCGGTGAAGAGGCGGGGCCAGGAGCTAGGACTCGACCCCTGCAACCACAAATAGGTGAGTACAAATAGGTGAGTACACACACGCACACACACGCTCAGAGACAATATGAAAATGACATAGCATCAAAAGTAAAGACTGATCCGAAGCTGTTGTACAGCCACATCAGGAGGAAAACAACAGTCAAGGACCAGGTAATCAGACTGAGGAAGGGTGATGGGGAATTCACAAGAAACGACCGAGAGGTATGTCAGGAGCTCAACACAAGATTTAAAGAGGTATTTACAGTGGAAACCAGTAGGACTCCAAGAAACCAGAACAGGGGGGCACACCAGCAAGTGCTGGATGAGGTACATATAACCAAGGAGGAGGTGAAGAAGCTGCTATGCGAACTTGACACCTCAAAGGCGGTGGGACCAGACAACATCTCTCCATGGGTCCTTAAAGAGGGAGCAGAGATATTGTGTGAGCCATTAACAAAGATCTTCAACACATCATTTGAAACTGGGCAACTCCCTGGGGTATGGAAAATGGCAAATGTAGTCCCAATTTTTAAAAAGGGAGACAGACATGAGGCACTAAACTACAGACCTGTATCACTAACGTGTATAGTATGCAAGGTCATGGAGAAGATCATCAGGAGGAGAGTGGTGGGGCACCTGAAAAGAAACAAGTGTATAATTGACAACCAGCACGGTTTCAGGGAAGGAAAATCCTGTGTCACAAACCTACTAGAGTTTTATGACAAGGTGACAGAAGTAAGACAAGAGAGAGAGGGGTGGTATCGACTGCGTATTTTTGGACTGCAAGAAGGCTTTCGACACAGTTCCTCACAAGAGGTTACTGCAAAAGCTGAGGACCAGGCAAACATAACAGGAAAGGCACTGCAATGGATCAGAGAATATCTGACAGGGAGGCAACAACGAGTCATGGTACGCGACGAGGTGTCAGAGTGGGCGCCTGTGACAAGCGGGGTTCCACAGGGGTCAGTCCTAGGACCTGTGCTGTTCTTGGTATACGTGAACGACATAACGGAAGGGATAGACTCAGAAGTGTCCTTGTTTGCAGACGATGTGAAGTTAATGAGAAGAATCGAATCGGACGAGGATCAGGCAGGACTACAAAGAGATCTGGACAGGCTACAAGCCTGGTCCAGCAACTGGCTCCTTGAATTTAACCCTGCCAAATGCAAA